AAACTGCAATTACCAAGTTGTTGTCGGCTGTCAAGAGCAGATTGGAGAGTTTCAAGTCTCGGTGGAGAATGCAATGTGAGTGGAGATACTGCACGCCACTGACAAGCTGTGCAAAATAGGTCCGAGCTGCTTCAATATCAAGGGAGCCTCTCTGCACCAGACGACATTTTTGGCAATATTCACAACCCAAATGTGAAGCCATTCAGTGCATACAAGACACATAAGTTACCAACAGAAAAAGTAGTGTTTTCTAGACCGTTACATCCATTCAGTACACAAAAGAAGGGACAGACAGCGGTAGTTGGTGATGAGCACCATAGTAAATTGTATCGAGATATCTAAAATTACAACCGTTCATTGCTCAGATCTATAATCTCAACCATTCATTCCGCATGAAATTTATGTGCTTGAAGCAACTGCTTGTAGTCTACCACAGTACAGAACTGCTAATCATCGTAACGTGCCCGTCTGGCCAGTTCGCTGGAGAACAGCCCAGATTTCTGGCCGATCACCAAACGATCAGATCGGCTGCAAATCGGGGCCATTCGCAAATATGGACAGCCCAGATGCCTGGCCGATCTGAATCTTTGGTGATCCGCTGCCAATCTGGGCCGTTCTCCAGTGAAAGCTCCGGATCGGGCTGGTCCTCTACAAACCTACCGGGTAAAGGTCCCAAGGACAGCCGACTGGCAATTGCGGTCGTCGAAATCCGAAATGGAGACGCAACAAAACAAGGTGGAAGTAGGCAGCAAAAAAAGTGCACCGTGCGCCTTGCACTTTTTTTTTTCAATATTGCTTTGGGCGCCTTCCCCACCAACCCTTCGTCAGGCCGCCTAGCCCAACCTTCCTCAGGCTCAAGTTACCTTCAGCCATCTCCCCCCCACCCCGAGCTCCCGCTGCATCTATGCTAAAGTGAAACACCAGAGGGGGGGGGCGGAGGGAAGAGAGAGAGAGAGAGCTGTCTCTTATACACATCTAGATGTGTATAAGAGACAGGTTCAGAGTAACGCGTGTGGGATATCCAGGGTGATCCTGTGTATGCGAACAGAGAGTTGTTTGGGCGTTGGGCCAGTTGAAAGTGAACTCGTATCTGGTTGCCATATCTCTGAGTTCTGAGTGGGCGCTTGTCGCCAGTTTGCTGCGC